AAAGAAAGAAAGAAAGAAAGAAAGAAAGAAAGAAAGAAAGAAAAGGGCAGAGCTTGGGGGCCACAGGAGCACTACGAATCACAGCCACGAGTGAAGGAGTGAAGACAGGGGGTCCAGGGGCTCAGAAGGGTTGTGCCTCATCTGATTTCCATAAGCACCATGGGGACCACAGGGGTGAGAGGCACCTATCAAGCAAGAGATGTACAAGTGGATGGCACAGCAGCTGGAAGGAAAGGGGCGGGACCCCGCTGATGACAGGAAGCCGTCATCTGATACCAGTGTGGACCAGAGGGGGAAGTGCTGGCCCTGGGCTCTGGCTGGATACCTGGGCAGCGGCAGTGCCTTTTCCTTTTCTAGGCAAGATGGGAGGATGGCACGGGGCAAAGGATGGCCAGGTGAGGGTGCTGGCCACACTGAGTCTGAGAGCTCACTGGCCGTCCAGGGAGGCTTGGGTGCAGGTGCTCGGGATCTGGCTGGGGCGGGGAAACGATATGGCACCGCGAGGGAGACACTCACCAGCTCAGGGCAGCCCACAGTGTGGAACCTGCAGGGGACCCGACACTTGCCACATGTCCTGACGTGGTCCTGAAACTGGACAGGTAGAGGATGAAGCCCAGGCTGTCACTGGCCTCAACCCTGCCTTGCTGGGCACAGAGCCATCAGGGCCGCCAGCCTCTGCACCTGCCCAGGACAGGGCTCTGTGCGGCTGTACAGCTGTGCCTCGGGCTGCCCCAGGTGGCAGCTGTGCTGCCGCTTTTAGTCTCGGACGCACGGCATGCGTGGGACATAAGGGCTCACGACCCGAGTGTGTGAGGCCAGGCAGCGCCCGGGAGCTGGTGTGCAGGGACAGGGCGGCACACCACAAATCCCTCCCTCTCCCCTTCCCAGTGGCAGGAGTCAGCTTTTGCATGAGAAGGTGCACCCGGTGCTCCAGGGAACTGGTCCTAACTAAGAGCCAAAATCCAGGAACAGTAACCAGGAAACCACGATCTGTGCCCCCCAACAAACAGAAATCCACGAACACCATGAAACAAAGTGACTGCCACCTACGTCCCTAGCACTGAGTCCAAAAAGTAGAGAAAAGAAAGTCCAAGAAGTACAACAAAACCCCAGGCGCCTCCACCCACCTTCCCAGCACGAGAGATGCAGAGGAAGCCAGGCAGGAAAGCGCTTGATCACATCCACAAGTAAGAAACGCAGACTAAGGCCACCCACAAGCAGCCCCGGCTGAACACGGCGACACCCTGACACCAGGTCTGTGGGGCCAGGCCTAGGCGCCGTACTGCAGCACCAGCATGCCCAGCACCTCCTGTGTCCTCACGGTGAACACGCAGCCCTTTGGAAGCACAACCTTTCAAACTCAAAAGCCCCTCAAGGAGCACAATGCAGCCTGACAGTCAGTGTCTGCCCTGGCTCAACCCCAGCACCAAAAATACACCAAAATCAAGCCAGGGTGCCTGGGGAGGCACCACTCAGCAAAGTCACTGGCCTGCGCGTGACAGGATGCCCACAACACCCAAGACTCCCAACCACATGGGCAGCACACACAGGTGCTGCTGGTGCGAAGTCAGGGTGCCCAGCAGGCTGAGAGAGAACCCTGTCGGCACCACATGGACAGAAGCTTCCTCCAAGAGATGGAACACAGAAGTCGGCAGGAATGCGGTGAGTGTGCAGCGTCTCTCCTGGGAATGCAGCCCCTGCTGCTGGCACTGGGGGTTTCCAGGGGCACTGCTGGGCACAGCAGACTGGGGATGGAGAGTGCCACCCAGCCCAGGTAGCCCTCGGGCCCTCCATTCTGCCAGAGCTGGAGGTTCCACAGAAAAAGCCCAGCAGGGCCCGGGTTGAGTGCAGCGAGGCCACGCCCCCAGCAGCAGGGTCTCCAGAGCCTCGGGCTCCTCCTACGAGTGGCACCTAGCCCCTGCCGTGGTGCTGGCACCACCGTCATGAGTGGTGGGGACACACCACCTCCAAAGTGAGCTCAATGCCAGCCTAAACTGCACAGCAAGACCCTGTCTCAAAAAGACAGACAGAAAGAAAGAAAGGAAAAAAAAAAAAAGCCAGCTAGGTCTGTAGAGCACACCTGGCACCCCAGCACCGAGGGGGGGCAGGAGGGTCACCTGTCCGGTAACTCGGTGAGACCTTATCTCAAAAACGACAAAGCGCTGGGAGTGAAGCCCAGCGTGAGTGCCTTGAATTCAAACCAGAAAACAGAAAGGCAGCGAAGGGACTCACCACACCGGGTGAGTCAGTGGTGCAGACACAAGGCCTCGGAGCTGTGCGGGCCCGAGTCTCCTCCAGGGACAGCTGCTCACAGCAGTCACAACCGCACTCTGCCCACTGTCAGCTGCCCCTGTCCTGTATGGTGTACAGGGCGCGCATCCTATCCCAGGTGCAAGATAAAGCAAGCAACTGGTTAATGTCTGGAAGTAAAATTTTCAGTAGAGAAGACACACACGTAAAACCTAAGAAGACAAATCCTTGTGACCCTTGTACAGACTAAAGCACAAGCATGAATCTACTCCTCACCTTCTTCTAAAGGCCTGGGGCACAGAACCCACAGGAGCCACACTGAGACCCAGGCCCCCAACGTCACCTCCCCAGTGCCAGGGAGTGGCCCTGTGAGAACAGGAGAACAGGCCCAAGCCTATGACAGGTGAGCCATGGAGTTATGAGAACCACACCTACAGGGTGAGGAGAAGCAAAGGCCACAGCTGAAAGGTACAGGAGGGCTGGCTGGCACGTGGCCCAAGGTACCAGCCCCAGACTACAGAAACACAATACCACCTAGAGAAGCACAGGTGAGGGTAGGGTAGGAGGGAAAGAAAAAAAAAAAAGCACAGGAGAGAAGTAGTCCTGGCTTCCCAGTACCAGACACACTAGGCTGAGCACAGGACAGCTGGCAGAAGGGCAGCAACAGCTGAGAGATGGCACCTCCAATGCATAGCCAGTCCCGTGTCACAAGGTACCTGGCCACTGTCCTGTCCTCTCCAGGGCTGTCCTGCCCACCATAAGACTCCCACCAAGACACAACTAAAAAAGAGAACTACAGGCCAAACTCCCTCACGAACATAGATGCAAAAAT